ACCAAACACCCATCATTTCTGACACAGTAGCTTTGGAGTGAGGCCAAGAATTTTCATTTCTAACAAGTAGCTGACCCTGCTGATCAGAGGACCACACTTTGAAAACCATGGGTCTAACATATCAACAACAGTCCTGCCTCTGACCTTTGGCACTGCCTGGAACATCTCTAACTCAAAGAGCCTCAAAAAATAAAAGTTAACAAATGAGTAGTACATGGAAAAGGTAGTGGCAAATGGCAACAAGCTAAGAAAACACGGATTATGCATCAAGTCTATGGTGTCTTAATTGCTTGGAGAACTGAATAATTCCTTCAGTTTATGACTCAAATATCTTATGATCAGTGACACAATCCTTGACCTATGGAAGGCAGCAATGTCACCCTGCCTCCCCAAAGAAAGGCCAAACTACCAAAGGACTTGTATGCATGCATATTAGCATAACCAATGGACACAGACACTGGGGTGGTGGGGGCTTGCCTGGGGTGGGAATGTCTGGGTTGGGGGTGGGGGTCAATTGGGGTAAAAGAAAACATATGTAAAACTTTAGACAATAAGAAAAAAAAAATGGAGGAGGAACCAGACAACTAAGTATCATTAGAATAGTGCTCATTCCCTAAGAATGTATATGCTATAAGAGATTGAGTACTCTGTTTTAACAATGGACTGTTTTAGTATCATGTTCCTGGCAAAACAATTTTTAAAAGATAAATTAACACATTTCGTACCGCTCAGGAGTTTGCTCGTGTTTCGCGCGCCATCTGTTAAGGACCGCTCACGAGTGTTCTCGTTTTTCACGCCCATGGAAAAAGGAGCGAATCTAGATACTTATGTAAATTTTGTTTGGTCCCTCTTCATAGAGGAAAATGTTTTACGCAGTACCATACGTTTAAAAAGTAATTGTTTAATTGTTTTTGTAAATAAAAATGTTATAATTATTGAAAAACAACACCTAAAGTGCATTATGATGATTTAAATAACGTGCAGTTTGCCCAAAAACGTGAGGTCCCTGGCATATGTCTTAGAGATTTCTATGAGGTACACAATGTGTTAAGAACTGCTACATAGTTAAAACTGAAAAATAAAAAAGAAATTAAAAATAAAAAGAAAGTCAAGGGTAGGACAATGTTAATGGAACCTGACAAGTAAATTATTAACGTGTCAGTCTTCTTTAAAAAGAAGAATATTAGCATATTTTCTGATCAGTTAGATATAACGTTTTCTGTACAAATAACTCATAATTTGGTTGTCATGTAAGCGTGAGTCTGCACACTCGTGTTTTGCTTTTGTACGAAAGTTGGATTTAGAAAATAAAATTATTTGAATTATTCAACACTAAAAAAAAGAAAGGCCCAACTCGATCACTCTGCAGTAAAGGCTACGACTGATACACTAAGCTCCTAATCAGCTTTGGAATTCTCTCTTAAATATGAACACACAAACAGACATGACCAGACGTTTGAGGAAAATACCTAATATAAAATACAGATGCCAAAACAACTAAAGTTCAAATTAAAAAACAGTAAATTCAGCCCGACCAGTGTGGCTTATGCAGGAGGCAGCTGATCAATCACTGATGTTTTGATCTCTCCCTCTCTCATCCTTGAGGTTTCTATCTCTCCCTCTCCCTTCCTCCCTCTGAAATCAATAAAAACCTTTTTTTGTTTTAAGAAAGAGTGAACTCACCTTTATTCAGTTTTAATGGTAACGTGATCAAATTAAACAT